CCGTTGATCGGGGAAGCAGCGGTTGGGCATGATCCGTATCTTACCAACAGCAACCTAAGATACCCCTGCCAGGTGGCAGCGTTGGCAATGTGCTGTTCATATCATCCTCATTCTTACAGGTCTACAAAGAGCTCATCTTAGCAAGGCCGACCCGCTTCCTCCTCACACTGGCCCTTGCCCTTTCCCCTGCAGTCATCATGCTAGTTTGCTGTACGCGAAGAGGGGGAGGGGGGGGCGTATCTGAGCTCGGGAGTTCTCAAACACATTATTCGGGTTGAGGTGTACTACTACAGAGACCAACGATAAATGCCTAGGATTTCCATATTAATATCAACACATGTAGTTTAGTATGTGCATATTTCCCAACACTGATCGAAAACCGTGTAAGATAGAGTTGAACGGCTCGAAGATATTCATCAGAATTGACATGCTGTTTTCTTTATATCAGCTTTAACCAAACTACACAGCTTCCTCGTGGCCATGTTTGTAATGCACATACTGTCAATGTTGGTCATCCCGATCGTTATCATACGTTACGATGAGTCAAAGGAGTGGTATAGGGAATACTTCATCGAGGTGAGCGATCATCATCGGGGATGTTCATATATGGGAATCAACACTCTAGCTTGCAGTACTCAGTACTCACTCCTTCTGTTCGGGATGATGTGGACATCACTGTTGCCTGATTGCCTACTAGGAATATATCCATCATAGATTAGTTATAATATATACGTAGTAGTGGATAGCATTAATATATTTATGATACTTCCCAGTGTGATGGAGGACACTATCTGGGCATTTTAATGTTATGTGTTTACTAAACTTTCGAGACGAATAAACTGAGGTCAGCTTGTTTGTAAAAGGCCCCGCGAGTTCGTTTCCCGATTCTCCTTGCTAACTACAGTCATAGCGCATAACAGTTCTGGCCAATACACGATAAAGGGCGGGGACGGGAGTAGTCTCATATTCCTCGCCTGATACATAAGCTAGGCTTTTTCGAATGATGTGTGGCTCGAGAAGTGGTGTGGTCGTAGTGGAATAATCTGCATGATCGGAGAAAGCCCTTCTTCACTCGCCTTGCAATTTATTATGAAGCCTCGGAGGCATAGCAACATTTCCGCTCACTACTGGCGTATTATTAGAGCTTCACCGTAATGATATGAAAAATAGTAGGGAAAAAATATTTCACGACGATTAACTTCACGGAAAACAATTGTGTTATCGGACACCAAGACATACACATTTGCGATTTATATGCAGTATCATGCCAAAGGTGTGAAACTTGATTCATCTGGTCACTAGACTTTATAATAAATACAACAATTCTTCCCTATTACAGACTCACACGATTACGTACATGGGCATAGCAACGTATATATTGTATTTGCGGAGTATCAGAGATATTACTATTAATCTCAGGGAAGACGCTCATTTTGCACATTTGCATATCAAATTGGCATGCACTGTATAATGTCGTTGTATAGCAGCATGAAGAGTAGAAGTAGCGAACTCCATCAGGCATTGCGACAAGCCAACCTCCTCGTTGCCGTCCTTTCATTCTGTATAGTGACAGCTCTGGGTAGTGTTGGATACGCACTCTTACGGTGTGGCACTCGATACGATGGTGGAAGCCTTCCAGTGTGCATTCCTAATTTCCTACACCAACTCGCATCTTATGGATTTGGTAGGTTGGGGACCTATTCCGTATCTTACCAAGATGAACCTTAGATATGTCTATGCCAGTGTTGATAGTGTTGGGGATTTACTTTGCCCTCGTCAACCCGTTGCTCGAGGAGTTCTTCTGGAGAGTGTTCCTCCACAGAGAGCTTGGTCAAAGGTACCGTATTGGGCCTAATCTGAATCTTACATGCTTCAACCTAGGATACGTCTGATGGTGTCTTCAGTTTCTTTCCTCAAAGTGTACCTGAGGAAGAGGCGGAAGACTTCCTAGATCTCGAAAAGAACACCGGTGAGCGTTTTACTCTGGGTCAATTTTTCCGAAATTCCCTATCCGATCATTAGATAAATCGGCGAACACTCCCGAGTATCCGAGTATTTCTGAGTTCCCCGGCCATCTTTTGATATCAACTTTCTATGCATCATATCACTTCATCATAATACGACAACTTCTCAACAGCTACGCCCTAGCAGCTATCGCTCTATGCGGCTTGGTGAGCCTCAGCTACAATTCACCACCATTACAGTCGCGATCAGATACTCTTTGGTCGACTTCTGGCATACTATTGTGGACAACCACAGAAGTTAGGCTTCATCGCGGCCTGCTTCTTGCATTCAGGATTGGATTTTGTAAGTTGCCTTCCCTTTACGTGTTATTGACACATTCAGTGGAGTAGATAGTTATTTCTACGACTTGGAGTAGTTATGTGAATTGTATAGTAGCACTCAAATGCAACCAACGAATTTCGTCCGGTGGTATATCTCGTGTTATCAACACATTCGACGCACGAGGCTTTGGAGTATCGAATAGTCTTCTCAAGAGAATAGTGACAGCAACTCTGAGTTGTTATTTAGAGTTTATAATACCACACTTTGTCAATCTCACATTCGGTTCACTACTCGCATCCAGAAGATCAGGTTGTTGACTTTGCCGTTTTATGGCAAGTTTTGGAGACTGCATCAGCTTTTTCGATATCAACAGCATTGGTCTGATACTCGGTATGAAGACTCTATACAACTAGAGAGGAATGGACGGGGTGTTGTAGCATATCATGGCAGCTTGGATGACACAGAGGAGTCTTTGCGTTAGTATAATGGATGCATTTACAGGGTTCGGGGAAGTTGAATAAATAGCATACACTTGGCAGTGAGAAAACTGTGTTGGGAGTTGTTGTTGCTGTTGCTGTTATTGTTATTGTTATTGTTGTTGTTATTGTTATTGTTGTTGTTGTTATTGTTGTTGTTATTGTTATTGTTGTTGTTATTGTTATTGTTGTTGTTGTTGGTATTGTTGTTGTTGTCGTTGTTGTTGTTGCTATTGTTTTTGTTTTTGTTGCTATTGTGGTTGTTGTTGTTGTTGTTGTTGTTGTTGTTGTCGTTGTTGTTGTTGTTGCTATTGTTTTTGTTTTTGTTGCTATTGTTGTTGTTGTTGTTGTTGTTGTTGTTGGTTGTTGTTGTTGTGGTTGTTGTTGTTGCTATTGTTGCTATTGTTTTTGTTTTTGTTGCTATTGTTGTTGTTGTTGTTGTTGTTGTTGCTATTGTTTTTGTTTTTGTTGCTGTTGTTGTTGTTGTTGTTGCTATTGCTGTTGTTGCTATTGTTGTTGTTGTTGTTGTTGTTGTTGTTGTTAGTGTCGTATCTGATGGTGACATGGCAATGCATATACTAGAGTGGAGCCCGCAATCCTAATGGTAGTTTTTCTCCACTCGTTGTTTTACTTGGTTCGTGCATGTCATCATCCGAGACAGCGATGCGACTACGGATCGCTCTCCTGAAGTGAGGCTCTAACTCTCTCCATAAAAATTGTGTCAATTTTTTCAATTTTCAAGGCATCCGAAGCGCTTGGCGTTGAAAGCCAAATTGGCATCAACTCCTCCCAAGATGGTGTCCATCCAAATCAACAATAATAAATATCAAGAACCAGCGAATCAAACCATATTGCAAGTCGCCCATAAGCACGGGGTGAGGGGGGTAATTTCGTGGCGCGCGGTCACGTCATGAGTAGGTAAGAATACCATACAATTGTCGAGCGGGCATCTGCTGGGCATGTGAGGCTACTGTAAACGGCAAGCCGACACAAACGTGCTACACTCCAATAGAAGATGGCATGTAGCGCCATTCGGGG